GCCGAGCAGGGAGCCCGATGTGGGACTCGATCCCAGGACCCTGGGATCATGACCTGAGCCGAAGGCAGATGCTTAACGACTGAGCCACCCAGGCGCCCAAGGATTTGTTTCTTTTTGATATGCTTATTTGCCGGCCCCAACACAGACAGCAGTAACAACTTACATCTCTTTAGACTTTTGTTTTTATGTCTTTTTTTATTATTATGTTATGTTAGTCACCATACAGTACATCATTAGTTTTTGATGTAGTGTTCCATGATTCTTTAGACTGTAAAAGAGAAAGTTTTATTCTTCGCAGCCACTAACCAGGGTTGAAATGGGCTAGTCTGCAGAGTGAGTGACAGTGACAAAATTAGGGGTGGAGATTTTGGGTCAGTTTCTCCCCAAGCGTCTCCGGGCTTCGGGCCACTGTTTACATCTTTCAGGGGACTAGCTGTTAGCCACAGACCAGGGTATGTGGGCAGGGCGGGTCGTACCTTCACAGGGACCACATTTCCTGCAGAGTTCCGGCTCTGTGCACAGGCCGGCAGCAGCCCCACCCACCCGGCTGTGGCTGCGGTTTGTGCTTTGCTCTTTGCTCGGGTACCAGTGCTCTTCTTCCCTAGGAATCCACGCCCTCTTTTACCTTCAGAGCTCAGCTCATCTACCCCTGCCTTCTGGCTCACAATTACCATCCTCTTTTCAAATTCCTGTAGTGCTGTTCTCCCGGCTTGTCCCAATACGTTGGTGCTCTCTGTTGACTGGGAGCACCTCACATTCCCACACTCCCTCTGTCTCCAGTTATCCACATGACTTTGGACGGCCCAGTTGCTCTCCAGGCCTCCGCGCGCGCGTGCGTCTCTGTCAAATGAGGATGTTGGAGTAGATGATCTGAGGTCTCTGACAGGTTGTAGATGTCTCTCCATTTAGAAGGCAGACTCCGTACAGGGAGGAAGTGGAGGGGGGAAAGAGCAGAAGCTTTACGGTTCAGGAGACATATTTAATTCCTAGTTCGCTTTCTCCCCAGGGTGTGACCTTGGGCACATTACCTCTCTGAGCCTCCGTTTCCCCACCTGTAGAGCAAGGGGAACTAAAAGTGTGTTTCACCCGTGAATGTGGTAGAAGTGCCGGCAAATGTGGTGCAGGCTTGCAGCAAACACCTTGTCAAGATTGATTTCCCCTTCGCTTGTCCAGAGAAGCGTCATATTCTGTGTGGAAGAGTCAGTTTCTTCTGTTCTAAAGACTCACAGGGTTTCTCGTTGCTCATTCCCTCGTGCTGGTATCCTGGGACCACCTTCTTTAGAACTGTGGGGAATATGAATGCGGACTGCAACATTAGAGACATTTAATATACTAATGCAATAGGAAAAGAAAATATTTCATTTAAGTCCTTGTGTTCTTTTACACACAATGCAATAATAACAGACACCAGGTAAAGGACCCTCGTTTTCAAGAAGCTTCATTTTACTCTTTTCCCTTAAGTGTCAAATTCTCTTCCCACCCCAGAGCATCCCGGAGAGATCATTACATGCCTCACTGGATTATAAAAGAAAAGGATGAGGGATTAAAAAAAAAAAAAAAGACACCTAAGTGCATCTGCGTTTGTTAAAGATGGGGCCAGATTAAGAATACCAATGTAGGGGCGCCTCTGTGGCTCAGTCGGTTAAGCATCTGCCTTCCACTCAGGTCATGATCCCAGGGTACTGGGATCGAGCCCCGTGTTGGGCTCCCTGCTCAGCAGGGGTCTCCTTCTCCCTCTTAGTCTCCCTCTATGTCCTCTCCTCTCTCTCTCTCTCAAATAAATGAAATCTTAAAAAAAAAAAAATGTAAATGTGTAATCTCTAAGAAATTATACATGTGTGTATAGCTTTCCTGGCTCTTTGATGCACCAACCAGCAATGTTAACCAACTCACCAGGAAGAACCTAGTATCCAAGAGTGTAATCCTTGCTTCTGAAAGGAACCCGGGCTCCTTGGAGAGTGGCGGCTGCCAGGATGGCTGTGGATGATTGTTGTGCTCCATAGATGACCTGAGTAGTTACTAGTGAGTAGGTGTTGTTGACGGAGGAATTACTAGTATGGTCACTCTGTTCTGCTGTTGAATAAATCTTCAAAAAGGTCTTATCTCTCTGGAGGGAGCTCTTTTTGCCGCAGAGGAGAGGTTCCCAGCATCCCCCTTCTGTCTTTATAGGTATGATACCTTAGCATTACTCACAAGGCGATTGACTTAGGCTAAAAACATTGATAAGAGAAAGGGCTGTTTGTTCCTCCAGAGAGAAGAATGTTGGAACCATTTACAGAACTGGTCTTAAGAAGCTGTTAAGCTCACACTGATGGCTTCTTACAGTGACCCTGGAGGCCTTGACATTTCTCTACAATGTTGGTGGTAAATCGAATCCTTTAGGGCTCCTTCCAGTGTGGTTTAAGTGATGTGTTTCTTTAACAAACCTTGATGTGGAGCCATCTCCAGCTCCAGATGGGCACGGTTGATTGCTAAGGTTTCTTGTTTTGGTGGATGCTTCATTAATGCTCTGTAAAAATAAAGCCAGATGCATAGTTGCACATCAGTGGCCCCTGGGCTGTAGCAAAAGTTTCAGGGGTCACCTCTCAGTGTTTCAAGGGGAAGCGCGAGCATCTGGGCAAGACACTAGTTTATTTTTGCTGATTTATTTTGCTGATTCTGGGTGGGTGAGGTGGGCAATGGAAATGTTGAGTCTGTAAGACTGTCTAGGCTTCCTGAACAATAAGATGTGTGGTCCCGTCTCCTAAAATGATGAAACAGACTCAGAAATACGAGAACAAACTGGTGGTTGCCAGAGGGGAGGGAAGGGAGGGGGTGGGTGAGAAAAGATGAAAGGGATTAAGAAGTACAGACTTCCAGGGGTACCTGGGTGGCTCGGTTGGTTAAGCTTCTGTCTTCGGCTCAGGTCATGATCTCAGGGTCCTGGGATCGAGCCCCACATCGGGCTCCCTGCTCCTTGGGAGCCTGCTTCTCCCTCTGCCTCTCTCTTTCTGTCTCTAATGAATAAATAAATAAAATCTTTAAAAAAAAAAAAATCTAAAAAAAAAAAAGAATATCATTTCTTAAACATTTAGTCCAATTAATAAAATGGGCAGAAGGCATGAACAGACATTTCCTCAAAGAAGACATCCAGATGGCCAACAGACACATGAGAAGATGATCAACATCACTCATCATTGGGGAAATGCAAATAAAAACTACAGTGAGTTATCACCTCACACCTGTCACAGTGGCTAAAATCAACACAAGAAACAAGTGTTGGCAAGGATGTGGAGAAAAAGGAACCTCCTTGTACTGTTGTTGGTGGGAATGCAAACCGGTGCATCCACTGTGGAAAACAGTTTGGAGGTTCTTCAAAAAATTAAAACTGACCTATGCCAGTAATTGCACTACAGGGTATTTACCCTAAAAGTACAAAACACTAACTCAGAGGAATACTTGCACTCCTATGTTTATTGCAGCATTATTTACAATAGCCAAGTTGTGAAAGCAGCCCAAGTTTGCATCGACTGATGAACGGATAAAGAAGATGTGGTGTATATACACAGTGGACTCTTGCTCAGCCATAGAAGAAAATGAAATCTTGCCATTTGGAACAATGTGGATGCAGCTAGAGTGTATTATGCTAAGCAAAATAAGTCAGAGAAAGACACACCATATTATCTCACTCATATGTAGAATTTAGTAAACAAAACAACTAGCAAAGGGAAAAAAGACACAAACCAAGAAACAGACTTTTTTTTTTTTTTAGATTCATAAGACAGAGCATGCACAAGCAGGGGGAGGTGCAGAGGGAGAGGGAGAAGCAGACTCTCCGCCGAGCAGGGAGCCCAATGTGGGACTCGATCCCAGGCCCCAGGGATCATGACCTGAGCCAAAGGCAGATGCTTAACTAAGTGAGCCACCCAGGTGCCCCAAGAAACAGACCCTTTAACTCTAGAGAACAAACTGATGTTATCGGGTGGGAGGGGTGAAAGAGGAGATGAGGATTATAAGAGTATGCCTATGATGAAAAAAATATGTCATTTTCTTATCAGGATTGTTATGAGGAATAAATGAGAAATCCTGTTTCATGCATTGACTGTGTGCCCAGCATATAATAGGGGCTTAGTGGTTATTAGGTCTTCTAATGAAGATGATGAATGATGAGCCTCTTTATATTACTAGATTCTGGAGGCCAAGCATCGGAGTGGCAGCCATTGACTCTGATCTGGAGAGGGACGGAAATATTTTTGTGAAAACACTTCTGACGTTCACAGGAAACTGAACAGTTTTAACTCCAGAATCTTGTCTTTTCGTAGCCATCAGCTGGAGCGCAGTTCCTGAGCAGCCACTGGATGTCACTGCCAATGGTTTTCCGCAGGGAACAACGAAGAAAGCAATCAGGTGCCTTCAGGCCAGGTACAGCCATATTGGGGCAGAAGGAGATGGTGGTTGTGCAGGCACTGTTTACCACTATCTAATTCCAGAACATCTTCATGACCCCAGAAAGAAACCTTGCACCTGTTAGCAGTCATTCCCCAGGCCCTACTCCAGCCCCTGACATCCATGAATCGGCTTTCTGTCTCTGTGGATTTGTCCATTCTAGACATTTCACTACATGAAATCATATAGTATGTGGCTTATTTTACTTATCATAAGGTTTTCTTTTTCTTTTAAAGATTTTATTTATTCATTTTGACAGAGACCGCGAGAGAGGGAACACAAGCAGGGGGAGTGGGAGAGGGAGAAGCAGGCTCCCCACTGAGCAGGGAGCCCAACGCGAGGCTCGATCCCAGGACCCTGGGATCATGACCGGAGCCAAAGGCAGACGCTTAACGACTAAGCCACCCAGGCGCCCCTTAGCATAAGGTTTTCAAGGCTCATCCCTGTTGTAACACGTATCAGTCCTTCATTCCTGTATACCATTGTGTGGATCTGACTACTGCTTTTTGTTTATCCATTCTTCCATCGATGGACATTTGGGTTATTTCACTTTCGTGCTATTAGAACTGGTGCTGCTGCGAATTTTTATATAATGAGCTTTTAGGTGGACATACGTTTTCAATTCTCTTGGGTATACCTTGGCGTGGAATTGCTGGGTCCTATGATAACCCTGGGTTTTTTTTCTTTTTTGAGGAATTGCCAAACTGTTTGCCACAGCACCTGCACCATTTTAAACTCCTACCAGCAATGTATGAGTCTCAATTATCCTACATCCTTTACCACACTCATTATTGTCTGTCTTTTTTATTGTAGCCATCCTAGTGGGTGTGATGTGCTATCTCATTGTGATTTCGATGTGCCTTTCTCTAATAAGTGTTCGTGCTTCTTTTGATGTTGAGCGTTTTTTTCATATCCTTATTAGCCATTTGTATATCTTCTTCGGAGAAATATCTATTCTGATCCCTTTGCCCGTTTTTAAACTTGGTTTATTTATCTTTTTATTGTTGAATTAAAATATTTCTTTTTTTTTTTTTTT